ATATATATATATATATATATATATATATATATATATATACATTAGCGGGATTTTACTGTATATATATGTATATATATATATATATATATATATATATATATATATATATATATATATATATATATATATATATATATATATATAAATATATGCATATATATACAGTAAAATCCCGTTAAGTTGGACTCTCAATGAACAGATAAACAGTATGCCTTTCTTTTTAAAAAGTATAAAGAGGATGTGTGATAAACAATTAAATACTTTATTATAAAGAACGAGAGATCTCTCTAAAGGTAAATGATATCAGAAAGAGTAAAAAGAGAAGAAATATATGTGAAACAGCGGGATGTGAACCTGGGTCTACGCGGCCAAATGTCTTAACTGAATGAGCTATACGTTCATTCAACTAAGTGAATAGTAATATTTATTTAATATATAATTAAGAAACTATATAAAACAGAATTTACAGAAAGAGATACGTATGCAAATAGGATTCTATATATCAGGAAAATGAATAGTAATGTGAACCTTTAGATGCTTATAATTAATATCTTGACTCAAAAGCTAGTTACTTTTAATGAAACACAATAGGCTGTAGGAGCCTCAGGGAAATTATATTCAGAAATGATTATATTAGACTCAGAGTTAGCTAGAAATTATTACAAAGTATTTAGGACAGATGTCTAGTACAAAAAGCAAAAGATTTAAAGCAAAATGATTTATATAATTTGAAAAAGTTGTTTTACGTACATTTCATCATAATTTAAGTAGAACTTAGTAAAGCAAGGGAAACGTGTTGAATTAAGCACAATGAACTCAATCTTAAAAGAATAACTAACAGAAGAGAGGTTGTCACTATTGTGAAGGTGACGAAAGATCTGTAATATAGAACATGGAGGTCAAAAAATGCTATCTTAAGTAAATAGAGTTTGATGAACAAAAGTTACAATGGCTGCGGGATGCGAACCCGGATCTCTGCGGCGAATTATCACGTATCTAACTGATTGAACTATACAACCTTATACTCAAATTTATATCTTATTAAAATTAAAAAACAATATTTTTTAAGATCTATACTTCGAAAAGCGTATTCAAACAGGACTCTACATACCTTTAAAATCTGCTAGAACTTTAGTAACGTGCACACTTTTAGAAATTATTGAAATAGGTATATTTTATCAGAAATATGCTTAAGCTAAAGCATATTTTTGAGCCTCTTTTTACTATTTGCTTAAGCATATTCGAACCTGTTTCAAAAATTTCATATGCTTTAAAAAAAAACATGTATATTCCTACCCATCATTCTTATTTTTAATATACGTAATGAGTTCAAAAAACATCGTTGTATATATTTATTATGGCACGTTTCGTAAGTTTATTTCCGTTAAGAATTCTTTCGTATGTTGTGATCCGAAATACTTTCGTTTCGAAAGAAATTTTATTTTTTATCAATATTTCTAAAAATAAAACCATAAAAATTGAATAGTTATTATACTGAAAATAAAAATTCATTATAAACATTTTGGGATTTAAAGATGTTAATTTTTACAATTAAAATCAGTCTGGCAAACAAATTTTCTTATAGACTTCAAAACGTCGTTTGGCGAAAATGTTTGTTTCGCAAGTGCGACTTCCGAAACCGCTACTTTCGTATGTTGCAAAATAGTTTTGTTTCGTATGTCAACTTGCGAAATGCTTAATTTCGGAAGTGGCTTTTGCGAAATGAACATCGGCGATTTTAAATGTTTTGTAACATTCGGTACGAAAAAATGTAATTCCGTGTTCTCAATCTCCTTACGAAAGAATGTTGTTTTTCCGGAATTGCACGAAATCCTCCGGTTAACAACCCTAGTTTCTATATAAATATCTCTGAATTATTGATATAAAAGAAAATTTTTATCGCATAGCGTTAAAATTTTTTAGTTTTTCAAAGATGGAGATTTAAGAATTGTTTTGTAAAATAAAAGAAGCAAAGTTTAATAAAATATTAAAATGACTAAAATAACATTTAAGAATTGGTTTAAAAAAATAAGAAGATATAATTTTATACAAAAAATATTTTATTGCTGAGCAATTTATAATATTTAATTAAGTTTATAATTACCATGTTTTTATTAGCTCACTTTCTTGTTTGCCCAGGTGGAACTTTGCAACTCAATTTTAACCTACTTTTCGATTAGCTAGTGCTCTGAAACCTTTACTATAGCTCAGAACCCGATGACAATGCACTATTATACTACTTTTACCATGATTTGCCGAGTTTCTTGAACAATTTCAGCAAAATAAAATTTATTATGGCGAAACTTTTGGAGGCGTCGCCGCAATTTGACGCGTCGCTTTAAATAAAAAATTTTCGAACAAAAAAACCAAATTTAACTGTCGCTGTGATTTTAAATGGACCGCAGCATAAAAACAAAATCAGTTGTTTACAAAATATAAAATTCCACCCATCAAAAACTAAAAAGAAGAAAATAATATCACAAATAAAAAAACTTTTTATAAAACCACGTTTTTGTAATGAACTAAAAAGTAGAAAATAATTTTCTCTTGTGGCTATAGAAATTTTTGAAAATTAATTTAGTCAATAGTAAGTGACATGAAAACTTTTGATTATGAACTCTTAATAATTACGATAATATTTGATAAAATTTTAAACGAAAAACGTGTTGCGCATTTAACGAAAAAAAGAACAGAAGAAGGAAGCAATAGTTAAGGTAATTAAGGACGATGATGATCATTTAAAGTGACAAGATGCGCACCACGTTTTTCGTTTAAAATTCTACAAATATTATCGTAATTATTAAGAGTTCATAATCAAAAGTTTTCATGTCACTTACTATCGACTAAATTAATTTTCAAAAATTTCTATAGCCACAAGAAAAAATTATTTGCTACTTGTAATTTCATTACAAAAACGTGGCTTTATAAAAAGTTTTTTTATTTGTTATATTATTTTTATTGCCAATTCACTAAAGCAAATAAACAGTAAAAAGTAAAAGTATTAATAAACAACGCAAAAATAAAAATAAATTTTTCAAAAAGAAGGTCATCATTTAAAAAAATAAAATATATGTACATATGTTGATTAATTATGTGTTAATAATCTACAGTAATTAATTAATTATTTAACTATTATTTTTGATTTCTAATTTAAAAAAGCTTTATTAGAAGAAATTTAATTCATTTAATTGCTTAAGCTTTTTTTTAAATTGCTTCAGAGAATAATTAGTTTTTAGTTCATTATTTAATATCATGTTCTACAACTATGGTCCTCGGTTTACAATAGAGAATTTAGTAGTGGAAAAATAATTCTTGGATTGAATGTAAATGTATTTTGAAAATCTAGTAGAGTATAAAGTGATTTATTTTTAAAAATTGAATAAAATAAGATTGCTAATATATTTTTATCAAGTTAGAACATGAAAATAAGAGCATGATAGAGGTTTAGTTTATTGAGTTCATTAAATAGTGTTTGTGTGTGTGAGAAACGATCTAAGTTTGAAACTATCCACATAGCCTGTTTTTATTTGCTAAGCAATTTTTTTTGTTGTTGTTGTTATTGCGATAGCGCTCCACCAAGCAATGTTCGCATAACTTAAGTAGCAATGAATAAAGAAAAGTACATGTTTTTTAAACAAGATCGATTTAATAACTGCTTAGCTTTGTACATTATACCTAAATTTTGGATATTTTATTGTCAACTACACCTATATTACCTCCAGGTTACATTTTCGTCTAGAAACACGGCTAAAAACTTTATTGATTGGTCTCTCTTTATTAGTTGATAATTAATAAAAAGGTCCGGAAGTTCTAATGGAATATCTGCTTTTTTATGCAGACGATGGAATAAAGTATATATTGATTCAATAATATTTAAAGATAATTTGTTTGATTTAAATCATTGGGTTAGTTTAAATATGTCCTGAACAAGGTGAATGATTGCATGATCGGTGGAATAGCCATATTTGAATCCAAATTGTTTATGGTAAAGAATATTATTAACATTTAAAAAAGAATAAAACCTATTATACGTAACTCACTCTAATATTTTTGAAAAACAAGTAAGAACTGAGATTGGGCAATAATTTACAACTTAAGAAGGATCTGAAAGATTCAGATTCAGAGAAATTTGTTGAAGCAATACTACTTTGTTTTCCGCAACAACAACAAAAAAAAAAAAAAAAAATACTTCGTTATTTTTTTAATTTTATTCATTCAAACCTTTAAACGATAAAAATTCAAATATTTTAAAATTTAAGTTACATAACAATATTTAGTATTGCTAAAATATGAAATTTTTAAAAAATATTTCGCTTTATTCAAAAGCAATTAAAACCGCTGCTATTTGAGGACTTTAAACTTGGTAATTTCAATGAACATGCTCATATTACACAAAAATGGCATCTTTAAAAAAAGTCAAAACTAAATGTTTCTATGTATTGTTTTTTAATAAAAAAATGGATTGGACTTATAGCTAACATATTTTTCCTTGAAAAAACGAGTTTCATTATTTGAGCATCAAAATTTTGCACCATTAATTTATATACGCGTGATGATATTATTTTATTACAGCATATGAATTTACGCTTTGTAATTTTATTACAAAGCGTAAATTTATATGCAGTAATTAATTGTACTGACTTTTGTTATCACCAGATAAAGTCGATTTAAAAAATACAAAGCAACTTTAACTTCATTGCTTATATCTAAGAAATCTTTAAGTATGCTCATATTACCATGCTCATATTACCAAGCTCATATTACCCTAATCTACCCTATAATTATTTTTATATTTTAATCAAATAAAAAAAAAACTTTTGTTTGCTACATTTTCTTGGAATTGGCTAAATTTTTTCCTCGTTTTCTGTTTTTCCAAAAAGTTTGGAAAATCTTTTCAAAAAAATGTGTACATAAAAAATATACTTAAAATTTTTTATTTATTTATGAGAATGTTTAAATATTGCTGACCAAATTAAAATGCTTATTAAGTGTTTGTTATAAAATGTGTTAACAGCCTGACTTTATTTGCACAAGTAGTAAATTTATTTGTATAACGTGCAGATTTTGCAAACATATTGCGATATAAAAGCCGAATAACATTTATCTATGTTCCTATAACTTTCACATAACGTACGGTGCTTATAAATTTCAAGGTAAAACTCCTTATTTGATTAAGATTCTTTTTTTGTGTTGCTTTTGTTAATGTGTTTGATTTTATTTTCGTATTAAGCCTCGCTAATTAACTACTTCCAATTAAATAAAATCATAAATTTTGTGAATTCTTCACAACAAATTGATTATTTTAAGAATTTTTATCCAAATTTTATTTTTAATGTGAATTATGTTTAAGATGAAATCAATAGCTGTTTTATTTGTGTCCGTTTTGGTTTTTCAATGCGTATCTGCTAAAAGTTTATCAGTAAAACTGCCTACTAAATGCGAAGATGTTCTTCCAGCTGATGTAGGTTATAAAATTTTTGTTGTTTTATTTTGCTACACCTGTTTTTGTTTATTTTAAATTACAAAAAATTTATTAATTTTAAAATTTTTGTTATTATTATTATTATTATTATTATTATATATATATATATATATATATATATATATATATATATATATATATATATATATATATATATATATATATATATATATATATATATATATATATATATATATATATATATATATATATATATATATATATATATATATATATGTATATATATATATATATATATATATATATATATATATATATATATATATATATATATATATATATATATATATATATATATATATATATATATATATATACAGATATATATAGATATATAAATATATAGATATAAATTTAAATATAATACATGGATATAACCTAAATTTAATAGTTAAAACTTAAACAAATTTTTATTGGTATTGTTAAGACCTGTGCTTCACTAAAAACTGCAGCAGCCAAATTAAAAGTAAATACTCAGCTTGTAAACGATGCTGTTATTAACGCTGTTAAAAAAAATATACAAAACACCCAGGAAATCATTCTTTTTGTCAAAGATACTTTGGTAGAAAAGGCTACTAATTTTCAATGCACTGACGTTCTTTCTGCAGAGGTAAGTATTAAAAAAAATGTAATTTCTTGTTTTCCTTTTCTTTAAATAATTTTTTTATAGATTTGATCTTAGAGATGAAAGTATTTCAGAATTCAGACTAGATTTACAATGTATTGTTTTGATGCATATATTTAGCAATGCGATAAAATTGGTTCCATTGGAAAAAATCTTAAATTAAAAACTTCAGACGTTTCAAAAGCCATCAAAGAGGCCGTTGTGAACGGAGTTGATCAAGCAAAAGTTATTTATGCTCGAGCTGTGCGTTTTCTTTTAAACGATGTCAAAAATGTTAATTGTGAAACCTTGGTCTCTGCAGAAGTGAGAAAGTCCTTTCTTTTATTCAACAATTAATGCTATCTCCCTTTCTGTTCAAAACTTTTTTCTTGTTAAGATAATAATTTAATCAAAATCTATTTTAATACTGCTTACAATAGGTTTGCAAAAAAGTTGCTGATTATGCTAAAAGTCTTAAACTGAGCACAACTGACGCCACAAACGCCGTTAAAGAAGCCATCGTCCAGGGTTATTCTTAGAAATATTTTACAATAATTTTCTTTTTCCGGAACGATACAAACAATATGTTTTTCGTAAAAACTTTCACTTTATTCTTTATAACAGTTTTTTTATATTTGACTATGCTTTTAGGTATCCTCATAAGAATGAGTCTTTTTGTTTTTCAATTTTCTTCTTTTTTTCTATAAATTTTTATAATTTTATACTTTTTTTTAACTATCTTTAATAAAGAAACTAATTGTCAAACAATTTTTTCTACATTTTTGTACAATCAGATATTTGATTTAGGTGCTAACAATGCTGCAGATTATTTTAATAACGCAGCTGAATACCTGAGAGCACAAATATCTTGCGAAAATGTTCTTTCAGCTGACGTAAGTTTCCTTATTTTACTTTATTCTTTGTGTAACACTTAAAAATTTATAACCTACATGTATATTTTGAAAGTTTATTAATTCCAATGTATTTGTTTAAAAACGGTTGGAACTTTTTTAGACATGTGAAAAAGTCCGAAAAATTGCCGATAAATTCAGTGTATCATTAACCGAAGTCAACTCAGTTATACGATCTGCTGTAGCCAGTGGTGTTACTAAAGTTACAGATCTTTACAAACATGCTGTTAATTTCATTATTGAGAAATGGACACAAAGTTTTGGAGACGAGCCCATGATGTACAAGAGAAGCATAGGTTCGGATCTTTTTGATTTACACGTCAACTTATTATTATTTGTTGTGTTGTTGTTGTTTTTATTTAATTCTTTTTAGAGTTAAAAATTTGAGGAAATTTTTAATTGGCTCAAATCTTAATTCATTTTAAATTTTAGATCAAGAAGAGATCAAAGAAACAGTTGTTCGCGCCGTTGAAATGCTCATGGATGTTATAACAAAAGATATGTAATATGCTAACATAAATAAATAAATATATTGTTCATGTATTTATTAGCAAACTACTTTGTTTATATATTATATATATATATATATATATATATATATATATATATATATATATATATATATATATATATATATATATATATGTATTCATTTAAAAATTTAACCCTTAAAATGATAGTTAAAAAAAGAAATACCATTTTTCCTAATTATTGGTCAAATTTTTGTTAAATAACTTTTTTTAGTTTTTATTTTACTTGATTGAACTTTTCCTAATATGTTAATGCATTTTGTAAAAACTTTAATAAAAAGTTAATGTATTTGTTAAATTGGAACATCTAAAAAATGATATTGCTGGAACATCTAACCAATGGTTTTATTGGAACATCTAAAAGATCGTTTTATTGGAACAACCATATTTTGTAATAATTTTTAAAATTGTTTTTTCAAGTGTGTACTAACTGAATAATGTGTGTAAGGAGGTCAGAGATATGGTGGTCAGAAGGAGGTCAGAGATATCATTCATGTGTTAGGAGGTCAGAGATATCATTCATGTGTAAGGGGGATTGTTTAAGTTTTCAATTTAAATATGTTATTTAAAACTTTTTTGACCGAAACTTATTTTTTAACGTTAAAATCAATGTGAAAGTTAATTTTAAATGCGTACTCTAACGTTCCTTAGCCGTCATATTGAGGATCAATGACAATTGATTTTGTTTTAATTTTACAAAAATAATCAATGATCATTCAGAAGCAAGAAAATTAAAGCATTAAACTAACTGTATAGACTACATCACTATGCTGTAAATTAAGAATCAATTTAGTTGATTCCGCAGCTCTGTTTGTCACTGTTTCTTTATTAATGTCAAGGACCGTTTTGCTCTTGTCAAGCCGCTTTTATATAAATAAAAAGTTCTTAATATATAACAGTTGAATTTTGTAAAAAAGTTGAAAGTTCTATTTAAAATGTATAAATGTAAAACCCACTTATTTCCAGCTTCTATTAATAACTTGTATTAGCAAAGAGATTGAAATAAATGTATTTTAAAGAATGATAATTTAATTAGACAACCATTTTCTTAAATTAATTTTGGAAAAAAAAAAACGTTTCGCGAACCGTTTTTTTGGAATATACAAAATACTGCTATTGAATTTTTGATTATACTAACCTATCTACAAAATTCTTAAAAACAAAACTTAATTTCATAACAATATTTAATTTTAAATAAAAATAATAATATTTTTTTATAATAATTTTTTAGTAATAATAATATTATTTTAACAATAATTAAATCATTAAATAATGATTTACTAAGCTTACTTATTAAGTTGCATAATTCTTTTATTTTATTTTTGCGATTTATAAGATTCAGTGGTTACGTTTTGATAAATAAATAATCAACAACAAAGCAAACAAAGTTGTTATTTTTAAAACAACAAAGCTAATAAAGTGGTTATGTTCAAAACAAATAAGCTTACAAAGTTGTTATGTTCGACAATATGAACAGTCAGTGAGATCGTGACGTGATATTTTGAATCGAAGTGGACATTTTTGTTTGCACAAACTGTTTGAAATAACTAGAAGAAAAAAAGATTTTAATTTTATCTAAGCTTTTGGTTGTTAAATAATTTTAAAGACATTAATGTGATTTATAAACAATGGCAAAGCTTCCTATTTAAGTTTTTTTAAATATATAATGTAGGTATATAGGTTAAAGTTTGAAAAAAAGAAAAAAAATGGAAAAGGTTCTAAGATTGAGTTTATAGATTTTCTCATAACCCATATAATCATTATTTTATTATAAAAAAAACTTAAGGATTAATATTGTATTGTTGAAATAACTCTACTACAAAAAGTTAAACATTATGTATATTTAAAAAAGTAATAACTGGATGTCATAGCGAAATCACTCAACACATTATATATATATATATATATATATATATATATATATATATATATATATATATATATATATATATATATATATATATATATATATATATATATATATATATATATATATATATCTTTATATTAATACTTTATTCTTTGGGTCAGTGTCGAGATAGGATTTTTTGATACTCATCTCTTCCTCTCCAAATGTGACGGAAATTTTCTTTCGGCAGCTTCTTATTCACACTGATCCTTGCAATGACAAGGTTTGTTATGAGTGAAGGTTTGTATAACTGTTACAAATTAGTCGGTATTGCTATGAAATACTGAAGCTGAATTTTAAATAGATAAAGAATTATAAAATGCACCTTTTTCTGTAAAATATTGTTTTGCTCCATGAAAAAAATGGCTAAATGCAGTGACATCCCTCTTTTTTCCAAAATTTTTCTGTCGAAATTCCCTTAATTTGAATGTTAAAGCTACTTGGCATTTGTCTTTTAACTAAAATCTAGATTCATTATCAAGACGAAGACATGTACCAGAAAAAATCTGTGTGTACAGAAACCGTATATCATTTTAAATATCTAATTGCTTTAATATGTCATTGTATTAGTTTTATTCAAATTGAAATGTCTTCAAATCAAAATTAGAAGCAAGAAAAAATTTTGTATTTTTTTGTTAAAAATCCTGGTTTATCAAAAAATAAAGAGTTGCAGATTACTTTGAGAACAGTGCAGAGCGTTGTGAAACAATTTAAGGACACTAGTACAATCAAAAGGAAATTAGAAAATGGAAGAAAAAAATGCTTTGTTAGACGAGATCTTGGTAAAAGTTTGAAAAATGCCTTAAACAGAAAACATAAGGATTTCTGTTTTGAACTTTAGCGAATAAATTTAAAACAAGTGATATCACTATACAAAGAATATAGAGAAATTGTGGCTATAAATCTTATAAAAAGAAAAAAATGAAGATGAAACTTATTGCGCTGCATATTTCCAATATCTTCTAGGACACCAATATTTTTCAGCAATTAATCGCAGGAAGCTAGATTTTAATTATAAATACATGAGAATGCAAAAATTCGCTAAAAATTCTTAGTTTAGAAGGCGATTTGTGAATGTGGTGAAAGAAGCTCTTGTTTTGTGATTACGGGAACAATTAATATCAAAATATACATAAAAGAATGTCTCAAGAAATGTCTTTTGCCGTTTTTAAGCACACACACGGGTCACCTGTTATTTTGGTTCGATTTAGCATCATGTCACTTCTCTGAGACAAATTTAAACTGGCTTAGAGAATATAAAGTAGATTTCATTAAAAAACTCCGCAATCTACCAAAAATGTGTATATATATTTCCACAATAAAGAAGAAAAAAAAAACTTAGGATGCAGTTGTCTCACTGTCTTTAAACATTGTCTTTAACTTTAAAATCCTAATAATTACTTTTCATGTGTTAAACGGTCTAAACTTTAATTGACCATAACACAGGAACTACAAATATTCAAAAAAAAAAATACTTTCCAAACTTCTTTCAAACCCAATCAGCATTAAAATATATTTTTACCTGATACTTTTGCTTGTTTTTCTCAGAAAATAACTCTTAGCTGCAGTAATTTTAATTTATCAATAGTTGCACTTCCATTAAATATTTTCTTTTTTATTTTGTATTTTGTTTTTGTTTTGTTTATACGGCCGTATTTTTTAGTATAATGAAGGATATAATTTATAATAATGTAATAAACAGGTGGTCTTCTGCGAGCGCCTGCTAACTTTACCTTTTGTAACTTGGCCTCTAACAATAATTGTACAATCAGGAAGTATATTCAGAAGAATTTCAGTAAAAAAAACTATTTTTTATTTAATAAATAAGATTTAAAGATTATGTTTGACAAATAAAATTAAATCGGAGTTGAATTGTTTCCAAAACAACGGAAAAAAGCCCAACACGACATGCTATTTTAAAAATAATATACTGACGCTAAAAATTAAAAGGCCTATTGAGATCTGGTATTTTTTTCTCCCCTTTCAACTTTTAATAGATTTCTACACCTGCCACTGATACCTGAAGGTAAGTAATGGTTTTCTGGATCATAATTCCTAATGAAATATTACCTAATTGTTAGTAGTGTTAATTCAATTTTATATGCTTGAACCATTTTGGAAGCAGACCAAACACATTTTGGCCTAATTTGTTTATGAGAAAAACCTTTGTTTGGCTTTTTAGAAAATCTTTTTGTTTTAAATATAGTTTGATATTATATATTTACACTATTTCGCTGACCTATAGCGATCAGCATCTTCAGGTGTAATAAAATACGTTACAAAAGTTGTTACAAAACTACATAAATCAAAATAATATAATGGCGTCAGTTGAAATTTTGACTAAAACGGTCTCCATGTTTCTCTTTTCACCTTTAAATTTCTATTCTTTTTTGAAGAAAATATTTCGTTTGCATTTCGTACCTTCAAGTTTGTTTCATCGTTTTTTTGTAAATTTCTTCATGAATTTAAATGCCTGTAGTTTGTTTCGGCAGAAAAAAATAAATTTTAAAATAAATTTTTAATGTCATTGGTTATCATCAAAGATACAAAATTTTATTTTAATGACCAGAAATATATATTTAATTTTCCATTTCAAAATATTCAATAGTTTTGATATAAATAGTAAAACGGCCAAGAGTTTTCTTGATATTCTGGAATATAGATGTGTGAAAATCTCCTCCACATAAATACTTAAACACTGTTGCGAAATATTTTTTAACGCCAAAGACATTGAAAAGCCAATGTTTACTGTTTTTTTAAGATTATTTTTTATGTTTCTTTCCATTTTCATTCGTATAACAAGGATATTTTTAGGTTAATATTTTTCTTTGAAATTTTGTACAGACAAAATATAATCTATAAAAAATAAAAATGTGCTGAGTCAAATATACTTGTGCAATGGTGTACCATGTATTTTGCGTAGGTGATGGGTCTTTTAGGGTTTCTCCAATCCCCTTGGGAAGACCTTTAGTAGCTTTTTTTTTTTTTTTTTTTTTTTTTTTGTTCTTATTACAATATATTCAAAGAAAAATTAATTAATTTACAATTAGATCGTTAGGAAAAATTTACAATTAGATCCTTAAGAAAAATTTACAATTAGATTGTCAA